TGCCACAGGCGGGTCCCTCGCGAAGGGGATACTACCTCGGGCGGAGAAGAGAAAAAGGGGGTTCAGGGAGGGAGAGAATTAAGTCGTCCTAATAAGGCCGTCTTGCACAACCACAATTGCTGCTCTGAGCCGTAGTTCGGTAAGGAGCGGGGAGTCTTTGTTATCGTGGTCTGCGGGGGTATAAATTATTGGCGGGAAAGCGGCCGTTTGATGCTTATCGAAAGACAAGGTGGGATGGACGACTGCAAGAAGAAAAGGCCGGGAAACTGCTGGTAGGCGTTCGGACTCAAAGCTTCGCAAACCAGCGGTACTTTGTTATTTGGCTGGAGGGAAGGAAAGTGTGCCAGGTCGGTCCAGTCAATGAACAGACACAGGCAGATCGGCTTCTGTGAGTATTTTTTTGAGAACGGGGGATGGGACAAAAAGACAGATGGGAGAGGGTGGAAGGGGACTGAGTCGTCGGAGGTTCGAAAGTGGGCGAGGGCCGTGTTTCTTGGGTCCGCTCGGGCCTTGGATGCTGGGTAAGGTCCGCTTGTCACAGGCCCGCGGGGAGCTTGTTTGATTCTTGTCAACGTCCAGGGTCTCTGATCGTGGAAGACGAGCAGAAGCAGTTTATCAGCTTCTGATTCCTTTTGTTGTCTTTTCTACTTCTTTTCCTATCCCTTCTTTGGCCAGTGTGGTACTTAGCAGTCGGCGGCTTTCTTGGATAAGTTATCGGGTTACTGCAAGTTTTCGGTGCAGAGGGTTGGCTAACAGGGGAGTGACTGCGAGACAGAGTTGGGTGTTAGCTGGAAGGAGCTCCAACGGGTCAAGTGACAGAACAGGCAGGTATCCCGGGATGGGCAAGGTCGGTTGGGTGAGGAGAGGGTCCAAAACAGCTGGGTCATGGAACGGAACGGGGTCGGGAGACAAATGCGGGTACAACATGTGCTGTAGGATAAGGGAGAAAGTGTGGTGTGGATAGGTGGGTTGAGGCGTTCAGGGCAGGTCGTCCAGGTCTTTGGAAAAAAGAACCAAATGCAGTTTTGAAAAAAGTAGAGGGAGAGACAGCAGATCCGGCACGTCTTGTTCTTCTCGCCCTTCTCGAAAGCGATCGAGCCTTTGAGAAGGTTTGGCGCGACAGGCGGTTACAGCGCAGACAGGCTTCCAGAAAAGGAGCGGGCGGAAAGCGCGAAGGGGATCAAGGCAACAGGCGAGAGCAGCAGATGAAAGGGGAGAAGACGAATGGGCGGCAGAGGAAGGGAAAGCGGGTCGCGACGCAACGAAACGAGGCAAAAGGAACCGAGCACCCCTTGCGACGCAACTTCGGATGAGAAGAGCCCAAGGAGCGCGCGTAAGATGAGAGACAAGATCACGGCGCAGGAAGCAGGCCAGCCCAGAGACAAGCAGCGTGGTTGCACCTAAGCTTTGCAAACTCCTGGACCGGGGCGAGACCGCTTGGGCTTGGGTGCGTCGTGATCAAGCGGGATCGGATTGTGCATGCGCCTGTATGATCTTCGGGTCCGAAGAGTGAAGCGTGGCTGAAGGGGGAAAGTAAAGGGAAAGGGGAAAGGGGAAAGGGCCAGGAGGGGTAAAGTGGGATGAGGGTTGCGAAGCACCGAGCGGACGGCAGCAACGACAACACAACGATGGTGTTTGCTGAAGGCGGCGGACACAGGAAACGACCTGGTGAAAGAAGACAAAGTCCAAGTACGTACCGAGATTGTGCTATGGGCTGATAGGTAGGTAGTCTCTGTGACACGACTGCGTGCTGGTGAAGCAGGGCGAAGTAGGCGTGTCAATGTTTCGGTGAAAGGAGAGGTGGGGAAGGTGAGGTGAGGTAGCTTGAGGCTGGAGAAGAAGAGATGTTCCTATGGGCCTGCGATGATATGGATGGACGAAGCTATAAGGGTAATAAGGCAAGGCAGGGTGAAAGAAAGGTGGACAGGGCAAGGCTCAAGACCGATAAGTAGGTGTTCGGTCTTACCCCGCTGCAGATTCGACCCTCACTTTCTATCTCTCTCTCGCTCTGCTCTGTGCTCGTCTGTGGGGTGTCTCGATGATGGAGTGCCAGGCCGTTCGTTGTGTTGCTGGAGTAGATTTCCTTTTGCCCCGGGTTATTTCACGTAGCGTTATATTCGTCTAAGCTCCCGTCGGTTCGCAGCAGGAGAAGGTGAAGACGAGGAGACAGGAAGCGAGGTCGCGAGGTGAAGGACGCGGGTTGATGTCGTGGGGTCAATCTGGCAAGAGGTCACCCTAGTGTACTGGAAGGGGACGCGAGCGGAGAGCAGAGAGAGGGGGAGGGGGGGAAGGGGCACAGAGTCGCGGGGCCTGCCTGCCCTCAAGCAAGCTACTAGTAGTAGGGTACTTGTACCTATCTTGCGTCCTGGGCGGGTCGCTCAGGAAAGGTATACCCTAGGTACTAGGCTACGTCCTTGGACGCGGTTCATAGTGAACAATTATTGTCTAACCGGGGGGAGGAGTACAGGCATCGGTACTAGAGCTGGAGCCCGTTCGAACACCCCGATCAAGGTCCTGGTACCTTCGTTTGGAAACGTGCTTGCTTCAGGAAACCCCGCTAGAGGACCAGGACCACAAATCCTTAACCCCCGTCCACCAGCTCTCAATTTGGATCAGGGTCCAGAACCCCAACCTGGATAGGTAAGTATGTTGTAAAAGGCACAGGTCATTAGCGGGTTACGATGCCTTCGTATAAGGCAATGAAGGGAGCCAAATCCGATCTGTTTCGACCGTTGCTTCAAACCAGTTACACACATATACACCACACGATATGCTGCATTCAATACTGAGGCTTGTTGTTGTTGTTGAGGATTCGCTATTTATGAGAAGCATGCTGAGTTCCATGTCAATGCAGTTGTTTCGATTGACAAGTTCACATTGGCTTCAACTTCCACTGTGCCGTACTTTAACGAAGCACAATAAATAAACCAGAAGTCCACGGCGGCTGGCTGGTGAAGGAGCAACCTGAACTTACTCCGTACAGCTTAGGGAATCCCAACCTGTTTTCATCTGCAACGTAGGGTGGCTTCGGAGGCGCCCTGTCAAGGTCATCCCGGGATCCCACGAAGCCAATTGCTGAGCAGACAAGGCCGGGTTTCACTCCTCTCCATCCTCTTCACCTACCTACATCGCAGGTCATTTCGGCCGTAGCGATCGAGCTAAGGCTGTAAACGACCTGTTGCTTCCAGTACAGGCAACACGACGAATACGCTTGTTCTACGACCATGGAAGACAATCCTTTTAGTTCGTTCCTTCACAATGTCTGGAGCAGCCGAGTATCTTCAGAATCCAGGCACACGGATAACATGTAAGCACCAGCCTGCTGATTGTCCCATATGGTCTAGACTTTTCACCCGACCGGGTGCGTTATTCAGTAACCCAGCCCTGATACCCAGAAGCGTGAGGCAAGTGGCACGGTCTGATCCAAGCGAGCGGCGCATTACGGCCTCAGAACGAATGGATATATTCAGAGCTTCCATTACGTAGACACCGCCCGAGTCCAGAAGATGGAATCGTTGGTTCTCCAGATTTTCCCTTCGTTCCTTGCACGACGGGGACACGGGGAGACTCTACATGAGGGACAATCCTCAGATAGACGATATGGCTCCCAGCTCCCCTCCCCCCAGTTCTCTCCCCCCCACTCTCGAAGGATAAGATCCAGCTGGTTTTTCCCATGCATGACGGCGACGGTGCACCAAAGATCTCCCATGTCTTATAACACCTCTCGATGCCGATGCCTTCGTCTCGTTTCGACCCTGTTGCTTGGTCTGGAGACACTAAACAAGCTTGATGTGGGATGAACAGTCTGTCCGCCGCAAATCAAAATGAGCATACGGACGGCAATGCTTGTTATGTTTCATGGATATTACCTATCTTTTACCCACTTTCAACGGCTACCTGTACTTGAGTCAGCAGGTCAAGATCAGGCTGGCGGCAGAAGCTTAGTATATGCATATACCGGATATTGTGCTAATCGGTAACATCCTTTCCAGAGGCAGCAAGGCTTGCTTCTTTCTCATCCAGCCAATCAACCAACACTGCCAACCCAGTTCTTCTGCATTGCGTTTTCAGGAGTGATGGTTCGCTGGGCGAGCAGAAAGGAATAAGATGCGCAAACTGCCAAAGTCCGATTCTCGACCATCATTGGTCAGCACTCTGCAGCCACAGCACACGTCCAACGGCGCCTAGCCCCGCCCACCATTGGTCCTTAGTTCTCTTCTCCTCGGCGCGTGTGTTTCACCTCTCACTGGCACCAGTTTCACTACCTATCCCCAAGTCCACCCGCCTCATTCACTCATTCCAAGTTACCCTAGTTCCGAACCATCCTGGCACAGGAAACCTGCCGCGGAACCTGCCGCGGAACCTGCCTTTCTCCCCTTCTCAGATAATCTTCTTACTCTACCTATTAGTGGCTATTACTATACTCTGTATTTGTACCCAAAGACAAGCAATAGACGGAACGGCACGATAGGCCGTCATCCAGAAAGGAAGGGCGCCACTAACTAGAACATCACACCGTTTAACCGGTTTTACCGCACTTACCTATCTAGGAGACGGAGTGAAATGCCCTCTCTTGCAGCTCTGGTGTGTGACGGGTCATCAGGGCCAAGCTTATTAATCTCTCGAGGTGGAGGTGAGCTCGTTTCTCTAAGGCGTAGCGTTCCAAGAAACGGGTAAGCTCTCCGATAGATCCTGTCATTTGTCATGGCTTGCGCTTCGATCGTAAAGTCATTCCAGTTGCTTGCAATCATAATGGACACGCGGCGCATTACAAACATTGAAGTAGGTTCAACACACCAACTAAATGGTAAACAATATTCGGCCACCATTAACGCGATTTCATTTTTCATTTTCACACCGAGATTCTACATAAACTTAGCCCCCCCCCCCCGAAAGTCCTCTACAACACCACCATCTGCTTCCATAGCAGACCTTTTTGTTTATTCAAGTCACGACCTGATAAGCAAATCAATTTTAGCCTTTGCCTCAACATTGTAATACTAACCGCCAAGGGGACTTACCTTTTCCCGAAGGATTCCAAGCCATTGCGCGGCGCTCATACCCTGATCCGCCCGGTCCTCGACCAGCAGCGTCTGCGCCCACAATTTAAGGCTCGGCTCCCCGTCTTCTCGGACAATGTAAAGATGCGGCAGGACGATGCTGCCGACTCCCTTGGAACGGTGGTCTCGACTTTTATGGACGACCGCCCGTACCCGCTCATTGAAGTCGTTCTCCAATTCCGGCAGCGCACCCTTGCCAACCCGCAACTGGGTCTTGTCATCGACTCCAAACACGTCAGCTAGCAATTGCGGCACTGCATCACGACCGGCCCACAAGAACTGGGTCTGACCGTCGTCAATGAGATACAAGCCGTAGGGAACAAAACGTTCAGAGGAGAGGTTCAATGGTGGCGGGAGCACAATCTGGCTCGTCTCCTGATCGGGCACGCCTGCGTTGTCCGGCATGTCGTGCAGTGAGTAGAGACGCGGGTAGATGTACTGCATCAGGAGGGGGACGGGAAGCGTTGACAACAGACAGAGAGCAGCAGACCGCAGGTCTGATGGGATCTGTGCCGACTTGCGCAGGCCAACGTTTTTCATTAGGCCGAGGAAGAGGATAGGGAGACCACGGAGGTTGGAGGGAAACTGCAAACCACCGCCCATGCTGCCACCTGCAAGTTCCTTTCTGAAAGTCTGCAAAAGCTCGATCAGCTTGTTCTGGAGAGAGTCGCGGGCAGCTTCCAAGCCGCCACTCAAGGCGCGCTCCACCGCCTTGTGACTGAAGTATGTGGTGATTGCCTGTTGATCTGCCGAGGCGTAGATGTCGGCAAGATTTGTGGTGGTAGGCAGAGCGAGCGTCATGACGCGGATGCGGCGCTCTCCATTGCAAGTGGTATGAAGAACCGCCGTCTGCAAGCACACAACGTTCTTAGTGAGGTTCTCGTCAATGGCAACCTCGACGACGTAACACTGGTCGCGGGGGAAGGCGGGGAAAGCGCAAAGATCCGAGCTTCTATTGAAGAAGTTGCCGTAGAAGGCGTTCATGCGCAAACCGGTGGTGGCACGAACACGAAGCACCGCCTCCAGACCAATTTCCGATGATAAGTGGTCACTGAATTCGGAAGCAAACTTAATAGCATCCTCCGGGCGGCCGGCGTTCCAGCCGGGATAGAACCAAGTCTGACCTCCGGTGTATCTCGGCAGGTTACTCAGAGACGCGACATCCTGGTACTGCGAGGAAAACAGAAACATGTCGATCGAGACCTGGTTCTTGGAGCATTCGACGGCGAAGCTCTTGTAGAAGCTGTTAGCAGTCTGCAGTAGACTGCTCTCCTTGCTTGTGCCCAGTAGCTTCTTGTCCTCTCGCATGTCCAGCTTGCCAACACCAACGTTGGGCAGGGAAGCGCTCAGCACAACAATCTTTCCGCCGAGCGCCGAAATAAGCTTGTGACCAGCTCTAAGGGCAGAGCCCATCGCCGAGCCATTATTCTGGTTGCTTTGATACATCTCGGGCAACTTGGTCAAAAAACCCTCGATGCTCTGTCGGCTTTCCGTCAGGGGCACCAACAAGTCTTGGGGAACAGGCAGGAACGGCTCGTCAAGATCGCTGACGACCAGCATGCTGGTTTCAGCATTTTCCTCGCCGTCCTTGGGGACCGAGAAGTAGTGCAGACTAGAATCCACAGCGATGAACCCAAGACGCGTGCGGCGATCAGCGTTAGGTATTCTGTCGAGACTGTCAAGGATGGTTCTGGCGCTGGTAGCGAGGAGACCGGTGGAGACAGCGGCATAGCTGACGTCAAAGAGGAACAGATACACGAGTGGCTGGGGCGGGCGGACCATGTACTCCTGGGGCGCAACGTATTCAACGACGGAGTAGTTGAGCTCGTAACGTCCCCATCGATCGGTGCTCCTTTGAGAGGCAGCGTCCCAGTCAAAAGCTTGAGGCACGTCGTTCGTTAGGTTGCACATGTTGCATCGCCAGCGGTGGCCATGGTCGAGGAAAGTGACGAAGGGGTTGATGTATGTTCTGCATCGTCTGCAACGCGCGATAACTTGGTCCTGCACAACGGGGACCGGGTCTTCGCTGTCATGAAGAGCGCCATAGGGCTGAATGACAAGCGCAAAGGGTAACCTCGACTTTTTCAAAAGAGAGTGTGTTGTCGGCACAGCGTTGAGCGTAGAGCGCACGTATTTGGGACCACAGTTCGCATCGGGAGAGGGAGTAACGCTGGTCTATATTTCCAATTGTTAACAAAGAGCTCGACAGGAGGGGGGCAGGCGATGGCGTACATTAGGAGGCAAGACAATGGGGGGTGGAGGAAGATCTAGCTCAGAGACATTGAACGGCTGGTTCATCAAGTCGGTAGGGTAAAGCTGGTTGAGGGTCACACGAGTACCTGCCGGCTGGCCGGGGGATGGCTGCTGAGGGTTACCGCCGAGGTTCATGCCGGCCATCTGCTGGTTGAGGCCAGCGACTCCGGGGGCAGCAGGAGTGCCGCCGGGGGCAGGGTACCCGGCATCGGGTGGCTGATAGCCACCGTATCCTGCGGCCGGGGCGGCAGCAGGTTGCGGCATGCCAAATTGCTGCGACTGAGGCGAGCCATAAGTTGCGGCAGCGGGCTGGACATCTGGCTGGGGATAGCCTCCATATGCCGGGGCCTGAGGTTGCGGCATGCCATACGGGGCAGCTTGCGCTTGGGGAGGCGCGCCGGCTGCCGTGTTCGCACCAGCTCCAAACTCGTAGGCTTGGGTGGCATAGCCTCTTTTCTTCTTCTTGCCGTGGTCGGCGACAGCCGGCTGGGGAGCTTGGGCTCCCTGTGCGTCATAGCCGTCTTGAGGCTGGTGGGCGTAGGACTGTTCCTGAGAGGGGTGTTGGCCGTAGCCGTCGTTCGGCGCCGACATGGTGGGCAGTCTACGGGGGGTAGACGTCCTGGTACTCCTTGTTTACGCTGGGGGTGTCGAGCAAGCAGGCGTCGCGATGGATGAGAAGATGGATGTTTGGATTTCGGGATATTTGGCTGTGGCCGGTGTCGGGTTTTGGGGGTACGCAATAGGCGGCGTGGCGTAGCGGCGTCAGGTAGGGAGGGGTGAAGAGGACAGCAGGCAGCTCAACAGAGATGTGTCCACAGCAGCCAGATGGTAAGGGGTGACGGAAGACGGCGACCGGTCGTGTGTGTCAGGGCGAGGCTGACCAAAATACCCAAGCCCGGGCTGCGATTGAGGGAGAGAAAGGCAAGATGCAGTTAGCAGCCTAGGGATTGAGTTGAATGGACAGATGGTTCAACCCGCAGTCCTTCCAGCTTCAAGTCGGGCGGGTGGGTGTTCACCTCTATCGCGCTGCAGGGCTTAGTTGGCCTTGTTTCTGGTGCTGGTAGCGGGCTCAAAACATGTGGCTGGAATGGAAAGCTATCGTGCACGGTCCATCTGGGGCTAGAGATGCCGGATGCCGGGAGATCATAAAGCCGTGTCCATATGGAAAGAAGAATAGAAAGAGAGAGGTGGTAAAAAAAAAAGGAAAAAAAGAAAAAAACCAATTAGTATGCCTAGCCACGGACCAAGATTGAGAAAGATGAGTGCAGTGCTAGCATAGCTAGTCACTCAGAGCACAATCACTCCTCGTGCCCTGACTTACGGGCTAGCATTCTGTCTCGATCTTTATGGTGAAGCTTTCCCCCTGTCTATCTAGTTTTCTGGAAAGCGTCCAATCACTTGGGCTTGACCTGAGTGTGAAAAGTGGAGGTGAGAGACGCCGAGAAACCGTCGGCACAGAACAACCGTCCCAGGGCTTAGCAAACGACCAAGCAACCGAAGAATGAACCCGTTAGTCGTCATCCTAGACCATAGGCGAGGAATACCCGAGGGGTTCGAGGAGAGCAAGGTTTCTCTCATCTCAAACCCCTTAACGTAGATAGGGCCTTAAGTTAGGGCTTGTTACATTGTCCTCCTTCGGCGGCACTGCATTCCGTGATTGTGGCTGTGGCACCCGATGAAGCTCTTAGAACAAGTCTTCTCATACTGGAAGTTGCCACTGGTGTGGGTTTCGTGGACATGGCAAGATTCGAACGCCACGAGACGGGCGGAACTAATGAATGGTCGGTTCCTAGACTGTTGTGTCTCACATATCGAGCGTGGGTTGCTACATCCTCTGCGAAGCCAGGAACTCAAGAAGGCCTCCAACACCAAATGTGAAAATCGGATGTAACCAGCACTTAATGCCCCGCCCCCCTCCAATGGATGTGCCGTTGTTTCCAGCATCGAGCGGGGCTACCGGTGTGCTTGGCATTACCCAAAAAGAAACACTAGGACGGATGGTGGCACCTTCCGTCCATGTTTTCAGCTTCTTGAGGCCCTGCGTCTCCACAAGACTACCCACTAGGCCACCTAAACTCCCCTGCGCCGAGCACTGGGCCCTTTGCGCGATTGCGTGTCGTCGCGATTCCGCTGGTTGCCCTGTGATGCGCATTCATCCATGTGCATACGCGACGGTACTTCAAAGTCTTGGGCATTTAACCTTTTGAGGAGGGAACCCGGAGTAGGTAACCTAGGCGGGTGAGATAGGTAGATGGTGTATAATATAAGCATATCTAGGAACTTGGGGAGCGTGGGAGGACAGAGGTAGTGTAGTATACCTACTTGCTGTAAAGCATATAGGTTGCCTCGCCTTGCTTTATCGAATGCCCATACCTCGATCATCTTATCTTGCATTGCCTTGATTAATACACTTCCTCTTGTTCGTGTTTTCGTCTCTAGGTTTTGTCCGCAAAGTCTTACCCGGACCGCACTGTCCTGGCTTGCTTGTTTCTTCAACCTGACCAAGCTACATACACTACCTACATCCTCACTTACCTTAGCTTCCCGTCTCGCCCGTCACCAGTTTTCCCCCCTTCCCCCTCCTCCTTTACACTACAATCCCCTCCCACGCCTTCGCCTACTTTGGGTCTGGGTCTCTCCGCCGATCTTCCTTCCACCCTACCCCTCGATATCGACGCTGTTGCCAGTTTCGTTTCCTTTCCTCGAGCTTGATATTTCCCCAAGACATTGAAGTTCCTTGATCGAGCCCTACAACCTCCGTAACTTGAATCTCAAATATGGCGTGGGGTAAGAAAGCGCATCCGCCGCCTCCTTCGACTATTAGGTGAGAGACATCCCGAGCTACAAAACAATCGAAACGGATGCGCAGTAAGGGCCAACTTCGCGCGCGTCGCATAACGAATCCCTCTCCATCTGCCCCCCCCCCAAGTGTGTCATGCCATGCAACAAGCACATATCATTCTTGAGACGTAGGACGCTGACCCGTGTACGTTTCGCAACCCGCAGTCAAGTCCTCCCCCTCATCATCACCGTCGTCTTCCTTGCGAGCGTTGCCTGGGTGCTCTGGCAGGTCTACATCTCCGTCACCAAGATTCAGGAGTCGGCCTCGGAGCGCATGGGCAAGAAGAACGTTGTCTTCACTAAAGATGGCGTGAGGGTCGGCGTCAGGCACACCTCGACCGAGAACTATGTCGACCAGACTCAGAGCTGGGTCGTCAAGGCCTGGAACCTGAGTGGGAATACCGTTGGCCAGATCAAAAAGACCAAGTAGTGGGCGCCGTACATCCCCCTTTGGTGTGCCAGTCTCGACTAGGGAGCGAGTTTTACTAGCACCTCAATAGCGAAGAGCGCGAAGACGAAGAAGAAAATCGAGAACAACGCGACGGAAGAACGGCTCTTGGTTCTGCATACAGTGGCGGAAGAGATACGAAACTCACAAGCGAGCGCACGCGGTGGGCAGGCGGACATAGAGATACCTAGGCAGAGCCTGCGATGGTTACAATGGTTATGGCGGGAGAGGGGAAATGGGCAACGTGCATCGCTCGAGCGCCGAACTGCCCCCAGGGTTGGGATGGCACTTGCCGGCACATTTTCCATGTAGGCTTGGGCGGTCTTGGCGTGGTCAAGGTTATTGCTCGAGTGTGCGTGTGTGTAATCCGCTGCTTCTGGGCAGACAGGGCGACAAGCGGGCGGCCAGAGACGGATCCAGCCGCTTACACCTGTATCCTCGGGCTGAGTTTCATACTTGCAAGTGATTACAGATCAAATGGAAAAAGACATTGGACATGACCTCCAAGCTAGCTTTGCACACATAAACGCTGCTTTGTCCGTATAATCGTTGCTCCTTGACACGTGGACTGGGTTAGGTATGTCTCTGATGCAACAACAGATGCTTTTTGGTAACGATCGGAATGTATGATACGTAAGATGAATTTCAACTGTGAACCCAGCAAAAATACAATCCAACGCCGTGGTATCAAATCCCTCCAACGTCAACAGTTGGCTGTGACCGTTCCCAACGCAAGGCCTAGGAAGCCGTATTCCGGGATTTCTCTTCTTTTTTTCTTTCTTTTTTTCCCTTCTTCTTGTTCTTTTGCTTTGCCCCGTCTTCGTCTCCGAGGCTGCGCGACGTCAATGCCCGCATACTTCCCTCTTGTTTCCCGTTCCGTTCCGCCCTTATCATCATTGTCGAAACGAACGCCACAGGGGTTCGGATGACTAACAACCTTGTAGAACTCCTGTCGACATATCGTGTTCCCACCATCCAGAGGGTGTCCATACAAGCCGAGCTCCCGTGGGCAAGCTCACTGGGCCCCAGGCCGCACCGTTAGCCAGTTTTGTACCACCCACTGTCCCGCCTGCCCAGCAGTCCCGGTGGCCTTGGCGAGCAGTTCAGCCTTGTGTTTCTCTACTAATTCTTTCTGCATAGCCTCGCGCTGTTGCAAAGGGTTCATCGAGTAGCCTGCCGATGGTGGCGCAAGCCTCGCAGACAATAGCTTCTCAAAATTGTGCGCTTGCGGGTAAGGCGTGGCCATCAGGCCGTCCCTCCTGATGAGCATTGAGGGAATGCGGACTTGCATCTGCCGCGTGTGTTGGTTAGGATTCTTGACGTGGCAATGATTCTTGTGGCTTACCTGTGACAGGATATGGGCATACTTGACGCCCAGTTCATCACCGATGAACTTCAAGCGTCCGACCACCCAGGCTCGTTGAGCATCTGTGGTGTAGTCCTGGCCATGCAAACATGCTAAGGGCCAGGTTAGGAAGTATCCAGGCAGACCTTTTTGTGATTCTTCTACTCCACAGGCGAAGCCCGAAATGTTCGCTCTCTCAAGGAGTTCCGGTCTCTTTAGGTGCCAGCCCAAGTGATATGGTACTGATGCGATGATGTCGCTGATGGTGTCCACACAAGTACGCGCCGCCGTTGCATATTCAGGCGTCGTGCGGTAGTCCACCGGAGAGCAGACCCAAGCGGCGCAGCGAACAATGACCGAGGCGAGGATGAGACGGGACACCCTTGCCATGTTCCATACACTGGCAATCCAGAAATCCTGGTATACATCCACCCGACCAGGGAACACTTCGGCCTTGGCGTAGTCTCCGTTGGGAACGTTATCCTCCCATGCCACTGTCGTGTATTGAAAGTAGTCTGGCGTGTTCTTCATCCAGTTCACAAGCTCTTGATCGACGGTTTGTGCCCGGCGAATCATGTCTAGCATGATGTCGATGTTCTCCGGGCTTCGGGCCACGGTCGACATCAGTCGTGTGACTTCGGCGCGCAGCTCAGCCGTCTTAATATTGAGTCTCTGGCAATGAGCAGCGGACTCGTCTTTAACAGCGTCACTAAGCCACCACTCGACGCCCATAATAGGTGCTGTGCCCGTACTGAGAGTGTGAATGATCATTTGGGTCCGAACAGCGATGAATAGAAGCAGGCCGGTTTTGGTCCGGAGTTGCTTGCGACCGCGTGCCTTGACCAACTGGATGGCGCCTTCAATGTGCGAACCCCAAGCGAACATGCCCATTTGGCGAGCAGTCATATTTTCGAAGAGGCCCAGCATAAGGACAGAAGCTAGAGTAGCGTCCGACTTCGACTGGTCAGGGTCCTTGAGCGCGATATGCGTCTCGGCCAGTGCCTTGGTGTAGTGTCCCAAGGCCTTTTCACTCAGTCCAGTTGCCAGAGCGTTGGGTCGGTTTCCCAGTGATGCGAGTGCACACGCGTTGAAGGCATGCTGCAGATGCCGGTTCCCTTGCTCGACCTTGAGGAGCGGCAACAAGTATTCCATAAAGCCACGAGTGCTGCCCTGTCTGGGAAGTAGGACGTAGTTGGCGACGAAGTGGCAGCTGGCCATCTGTTCCACGGGAATGTCCAAGCAAGGAAGGACCACCATAGTCGGATCGAACTCTTGCTTTAAGATGGGCGAGATGCTCTTGTCAGAGCCAGACGTGGGCAACTCGATGTCTTTACCCTTCTGGGCAAGTGCTTTGCGGTTTGCCTTCTGAGCCCTCCTCTCTGTCGCTTTTGTCTCATTCCTGAAAACGAGATCGAATTCGTCCTTGTAGCCAGGGCATTGGCGACGGGATTTCGCGCATTGATTACATGTAGGCTTTGTCTCGTCACACTGCGCAGAAGTTTTGTCAGTAGGCAGTTCCCGTCTGCCAAGCAACCTCGTTTGTTGCGGTATCTCAAATTTCTCTTACCTTTATCCTGCGAGTCCTGCACATTTGACAGCCCCTCGAGGGCTTTCCGCAATAAACCATGATTTCGATTCGAGTCGAATTTATCAATGCGGTGCCGAGTTGGGTGTTTTGTAACTAGCGAGCCGTGTAGCTGAAGTAAGAATGGCGGGCGGGCGTCTATAAGATGCGACCTGGCGAAGATGGAGCCAAAAGGTAGCCGGGAGGTTCGCTCAGTGGAAAGAGCTGTGAAGTTATTCAATGGCGGTTTAGAGTATGATGAGGCAGGCTGACGGTCGATCAGGGTGAGCGAGGAAGATCGACTGGCGGTGTTTTGGTCAAGACGGCTAGGATGTGAAACTCGGAGGCAACCGGTTTATTTCGGAGTGCGGAGGCGACAATTGCTCAACCTGGGGGGAGGGGAAACAGCCAGTGGGACCATGTGGGTGTTTGGAACCAAGTGTCGGGTCCGGGAGCCGCGTGTTCGTGTTAAGATGATGGAGGGAACAACAATGTGGAAAGATACGACAAGAAGCCAGGGGCAGAACCAGTGTTTGCCTCGTCGATTTCGCGAAGTCAACGTATGGCAGTAGAGCCTGTGACTAGGTACCAACAAGAACAGACCGAGATTGTCCTATGCGTAGTCTCCAAGCGTAGATGGAGATTTGAAGGGTTGGAAGAGGAACGAAGATAGGAAAGAGAAAGTCAGGTAGTGGCCGGCAAGCGCATAGATGAAAGACTTCCAAGCCACGCCGATGGTGTTTGAGACTCGGTGCAGTCGGGAGTCTCAACAGGCCCTGTTTCCCCTAGCACGTCCGGGGTTGACCGTTGTTTAGACGATCCAGGATGGTCCTGGTCCTGAAGTGTCAAGATGGGATTGATGTTGCAGGAGGTAATAGCGCTCGGCGAAGGACATGGACGGGTTGAGAAATTGGGGTTCAGCAACAACAGAAAGGCCAAGGTAGAGCGAGCGGGTGATTGGACACAGTTATAATTGTTTGTATCACTTTGTCGGGCGGGGCGCTTGTGTCCGTTGTTTCTGTGATCAAGATGGGGCACAAAAAGACGGGAAATGCCGCCCAAGACAAGGGCACGAGTGGGCACGTCTCTTTTGGATTTATCATGTACACGGTATGGTCTTGCTGGTCTTCTTGTAATAGGTACCGTGTTAAGGAAATAGAGAGCTCCCGGTTGGAAAGGGTGTAGTTCCTCTCGAGACACTGGTCAATCCTGCAGATACCCCTCTTCGAACTGATAAGAGAAGAAGCAGAAGAAGAAGACGAAGAAGTCACCATGAACAATGGAGATCTGGGACATATCCCCACCGATTTAGACGTGCCCTACTATGATGCCTTTGGCTTGTGCTAGCCAATATCAGGGGCGTTGCGTTACCTTCATTAGGACGGGTAGGCGGAAACAATGGGTGAGGGGCTTTCACGGCTTCTTAGCCACAGGTGGGGAGTGGGGGTGAACAGGGATGAGGGGCTTGGGCTGGACAGGAGGATGCACCAGAACAGGGGGCGGGGGCGGGACAGAAACAGCAGGGCAGCCAGCCGCTTTGACGATGGGCTGCGGACATCGGACATGCAGATGCGACACTTAAAGACAAAACGTCAGTGGCCGAAGAGAAGGATAGTGCAGGGGGGGAGAGACACCAGAGAAGCAGGCACCGCTGCTGCTGCTGAGAGCCCATTTGTTCCACTCGGCAGTTGAATGGAGGTTTTGGCTGCATGTTTTCTGAGGGTAGTACACGCGATCACTCACCTCAGCAAGAGGAATTAGAGGTAACTGAGTGTTGGCAGCAGCTCTCGCGAGGGGAAGCGAACCCGGCCGAGTCTGCCCAGCACCTACCTGGATGTGTTTGTACCTAACACTAGTGGGTGTAAGGTACGTGACGTGTACGCTTCATGTACGTTAGAATGCGCCCGGGAATCGAGAACTGGGGAGGAACAAAGCCGATGGAGTCTCTCGAAGCTCAGATGGCGCCTGCCATGCTTTCGCCACAACCTCCATGCTATGCCTTGTCCTCAGCTACCTACCTACCTACCCTACCTAGGTAGTGTGCTGTAGGTACTGGCTACTTAGGCACAATACACACTACTCTAACAGTGTACCTACATGCCAATTGTGTTGTTTTGCCTTGCCGTTGCCGTTGGTTTGGGCTGTGTTTCCCGGCCTCGGCGATCTGAGCCTTGTGGACCACCACCTCATCTGGACTTGTTAGCCTAACCAAGACTTGAGGCAGCAGCCAAGGCGGAGGCCCCTCAATCAAGACAAGTAGTTTGGTGTATGGCTGCTGAGGGGCGTCTGGTCTGCTGACAAAGAGGCAGCATGGCCTTTGAGGGGGAACCGAAGAAACCGGGGGCGGTAGGTGCACGGCATCAGTACGGTATACGGATACAACAACCTATAAGCGTTGGCTGATATCATTCTGGCTGCATGCGTCAGATACGAGTTCTGGATGTCTGACCCAGTCTCCAGAGTTCTGGTCGGTGGCGGCGAGCGAGTCGGCAGCCCTGCCTCGACGGCGTTGGACTAGCGCTGCCGTCTTTGGTCTTTGGACGGTTTCACCGCACACTCAAAATGAACAGCGGCAACGACGGGCAACTCCGCGATCCCAGCGGTGGGTGGGTACGTGCATTCGCCAGTTGGGTTTGCGGTTCCATTCGTACGGTTGGTAAGGTAGGTAGTATGTATACACTACTGCTAGAGGGTAATAGATGGGTGTCTTATCTGTCTGTGTCTGCCTGTCAGCATGAGGGCCAAGATGGACAGAAGATCCGACTTGGATGCGGACCTTAGTCCCCTCACAAACTCACGGCGGTTGATATGTCCCCTCTTGATTTATCAATAAACCGTGGCAATGCAGAAAACAGGCGAGCCAAAGGCAGGGCAAAGAAGGCAATCTCATCCAAGACAGGACAAAACGAGGCCAAGCCGGGCTATCAGGGATGGGGAGGGGGATCAACTTGTTTGAGTCGGGGGCCCCTACATGTCTCGGTGATGATGGCTCGACAAAGAAGCAAACATGATGGAAGGCTGGAAACGCCCCAAAACGACATGGCACATTGGCAAGCTCCCCTTGCCAGGCCTAACGCGGATGCTTAGAAAGCCAAAGGCACGGCAGCGCACCTAATCTACACGTAACGGATGGGTTGGCAACCCTACCCAGTGCAGACCAAAAGAGAGATGCCACCCGTGACTATCAATTACCCACCCATCCACCCACCACCCATTGTGTGCTTGTTCGGCTCTGGCATCCGGTCAAAGCTCCTCTCCGTGCCCCCCTTAGTTGATAGTACGCGCAGACTGTTTGACACAGAGAAACTCTTCTGGCTTCCGGAAACGCCGTCGTTGAATGTCCAACTGGGTTTTGTGGGAAACAAACTTTCCCTTAGCGCCTGTCTGACCTGACCGCCCGCATGGAAAGAACCTTTGGAGGCTACATGTCATCGGGTGGGAGCGCCGCACGGACCTCGACACACGGACCTCGCGAAGCGGCCGCTGTGAGGCACCCCGTGGTAAGGTACTTAATGTACCTGTAAGTATGTACAGATATCTGCCTATCTGCCTGGTAAACTACCTAGATAGGTAAGGGGCACATGTGCCCCACTCTTCGACGAATCTTGCAGTTGGAACCTCCTTGTCGGAACTGGCTGGGTTGATGCTACCACTGCGCCAGTGCACCACTGCGCCAGTGCGTACGGGACACAAGAAACCCAGTTAACTGTCTTTCGAAGCCTCTCGTTTCCGTCCACTTTCTTCAATCCCCCTCTTGGTGCGACAACGGCGATGATGAGTGACGGGTACTTACACCAGGTTATTCCATCACGTTACAGTCATGGACCCCCATGCTCTTCATGATCCATTCCCGCTTCCCTTGGTGATATGATGCCCAGTTCAGACGCCTGCTCGAACGGGGTCAGGACGGGGATTCATGTGAGACAGTCATTGAGAGGTACGCCTGGTAGTGTACCAAGGGATCGGTTAGTCGTCCGCTTTGCCGCCTCACTGAGACAAGTTGTGGCTGTATCCACTTCCCATGAGGCCATTCACGAGGCATACAATGTTACATAAACGACTGCGCCGCCGCCGCCGCTGCTGGCTACTGACAATTCCCCCAACCTTTCCATTTCACCGGGTGCAATCCGCCGCCAGGTCTCCTTCAGGTGCTCGCAAACCCGAGAGTCTAACAACACGGGAAGCAGACCACCGGCACAACCTCAACTAAGACTACTGGTACATGGATGTCGATGTCTCCTCAGCCAACCCACCCCATCACAATGTCCTCAGCCTGCGATGGTAACTGGGCATGGCTGGTCTAGCCCAGTGAACCGCACTTGGCTATCATAAAGCTTCATACCTATCCTGCTCTGGTGCTTCAGTTGGCAAAGCACACTCACTGGCTCTAGGACAGTCATTCTTTAACCGCCTTTCACTGAGATGCTCCGTAGGTGAGTACCTATGCACTTGTCATCAGCTCAGGTCACTGCGAGGGAGAAAACGCTTGTCAAGAGGGCATCTGCACAGCTGGTGCTCTGCTTAAGCCTGTGCAGACCTGTGGCTGACTAGGCCTTTCAACCCGTCGGCGTTGACCAGCTTCTCCCATGTGAATGAGAGACCAAGTTTTGGGGAACTGGGTCAAATCAGCAGTCAATTGGTTTAGTGTCCTGACCATCTGCCGATGCCACTGCTTCTTTCTGCATGCATCATCCCATAATCCAGCACACCGCGTCGCAGTACCTACTCCTGCCTGCACCCTACAGGACACTTGTCTCACTCTGGTCTACGACGATCAGTTGTCACTCACTTCAGGTTACATCTTCTCGCATCGATGGACGAGTTGGCTCACTGGGTCCCAGCACCTGATTCATTGGGCCCTGTTGATGCAGTGCGTCCCTTGATGTGGCCCTCCGTCACACCTATCAGTCGTGCCGGTTTTTTCTCAGTTGTACATGACCCCCCACTCGGGTTCTAAACAAATGGCCGGTCTCAACCACATCGCCAAAACACAACAGTACGTGTATCTTAGAAGTCTGTCATACCGCTATGGCTTCTAATAACGTAAAACAGTCTTTTTAGCACTGGATCACCCTGTTTGTGAAGATTACATATTTCTAAGATTATTCTATGTGCGAAGGGGAAAGAGTAGAAGTAGTGTTGTTAGTAGGTGGGTGTAGGAACGACCGGCCTTTTTTTTTTTTTTTTTTTTCCAACCCGAGTGCCCCCCAAAATGCAGATTGTCAGTGGCGGAACAACTACCGTACGCACTGGTAAAATCCGGACAAAGCTAGAAAGCCCGCTAGCCAGAGAAAGCTAGCAGATGTCCTATAACGGCTAGTGGATTTCAGCCACGCTAGTCCCGACATAGAAGGCGGTCACTCCTTCTACCCTCTGTTGCCCACTAGCCAGCCTGCCGTTAGTAGAAACACAACTGTTACGTAAGAAAAGTGATATATACAGATCCCTGTTTCTGCCAGCACACTATACTCCTTACAGCAGCCACGATACCCCTTACCGTTAGCGGGCTTCTTAGCTTTGTCCGGATTTTACCAGTGCGTACGGTAGGCTTTCATGACACATACATTGGTGGCCCAGTTGGTGCAGTTCGGTCTTAGACATTGGGCTTTTGTAACGGGAAGCCAGCGTCATACCATATTCAATTTTCCCTCGCAAACAACTCAATTATTGTCTTTGTACGTATTTCAATTCAGAATCGCGGAGTGATACCTTTTCCAAACTAACTCGACTCGATGGGACGATATTGGACCACACCGAAGTCGAGGGCAATGTTTCCTTCAGGGATGGAACGGGGACCACCACAGGCAGTATACAGGCACGGTGCTCATTCGGCAACGAACCGCCTTTACTACATAGCCTTCCGTCAGCACTGAGAAGAATGATGCTCCTGCGGCGTGTAGGTGTGGCTAGCCATGGCGTTGACCTGCCTTTCTTGTCTCGCACTTTCGTCTCGTCAATGACTCGGCCAGAGACAGGGGCAGGAGGGGAAGCAGGTAGGTGCAGCAGGTTGATATTCTCCTTCACCCGGTAAACACGTCCTCCGAGCGGATGGATGGCTTCGATGACTAGAAGGTAGCAACAGAAATATACACTTCTTGTTACACTGGCTTGTCACAAGCGCATGCCTCCTCTGTTCCTGAGAGATGGTTTGTCCCAATCCCGTGCCGAGTTCGAGATTGGTCAACACACACAGACTATAAATCTCGCTTCTCGCTCTTTTCATGAATTTTCGCCTCTATACTTGTATATAATCCAACACATTAATAATTATAATGGAAGTAAGCAAATAACTAAATAGACTTGAGATCCATGGCTCCCAGTCCTGCGACAGTCATTGTTGTCTAAATGTATAAATCGGCCGTGCAGCGATTCTGGAGGGAAGATTGGGGTCCGGATGGCATGCTTCCCACCCCCTCCACCTTTGATTCAACCAGTCAAACACATCCCGCCCAATCCTGCCAAAAGTTGTATGACTCTGGAAACGTTTGAGGACTTGTCTTCTTACCATGTACATGTAGCATGCACTGGCACTTACCTGATTTGTCCCATCTTAGCCCCCGTTTGCTATCGGGTGATTATAATAGCGAGTGCTGCTTGAAAGGGCAAAGGGCAATGCCTGCAGACTTTTATCCTGGTATGTCTGTGGGCATTGAGCTTATTGATTTGAACTTCTCTCTAAAGACTACTGGTTATGCGGAACCTACGGCGCCGTTCTACCCCCTGCTATTTCGCTCTGACTGGAGATCAGTAAATTCTCGAGACTTAGATTAAGGGAATATCAACGACCGGTGGTACTGTCGGAAAAGCGAAACTTGCGTGTCTGGCATTTGTATCTCTCCGCATAAATATATGGACAAGAAGCACTAGGCACAAATGCTTTAGGGCTCGAAGAGGCCGGCAGCACGATGAAGAATCAGGATGCGCTTTGAAAACGTTGGTATCTTTTTTTATATCCTTCAGACCTGGACTGAAATATCAGCACCTGCCCATTTAGCCCGTGGTATGTCTCTATGCTACTTCTACGCCATCCTGCCCCTGAGCCATAGCCCAGCTGACATGCCTGCTGGCATGATCTTTCAATTGGGCGGGCATAGCTCTTGAATTCCATACCTCGAATATGGCGATCCACGGCCGCTTGGGAGGCTTCTGATCGTAACCCTGCCTGTACCTTAGAGGAGCGGTACGAGTCGGGAGAAATACAGGCTTCAAAGAAGGGCCCACCTGTGTAAGCAGGCCCTTTGCAAAGAATCCGCTCCTCCGCAAGGTTGGCAACAAGTCACCCTAGCCCTCGAACAAATCAGCCACTCCCTCAAGAGCGTCTGGCGTTGCCCGTCCTGCGTCGGCAACTCCTCCACCCCGCGTTTTTGTCTCATTAGCAGGCGTCATGAACTCCTGAGCCATTTTACTGCGGTTCGACTTCTTGCTTCGTCCGAAACTGCTGGTCTTTGGGAGTTTTCCCATCTCAGCGATGCTCACACCCTTGAGGTCCTTGAGGAGATCAAGTACCAACGCACGCTGTTGACGGGTGTGAGATGCCGGCTTAGAAGAGAACTCGTTCAGCCTGTCAAGGTCCGCTTGCCTGATGTTAGGCAGGGACATGAGCACGTCCCGAGGGGTGCTGGTTACTGGGCTGTAATAAACCAAAATAGCTGCAATCAATGAGGCCAGATCCTTCTGCAGATCTACAAAGTATGGTTCATGGAAGGAGCTGATGCAGGCCCGGAGTACATCTGATGCGATGTATTCTCTGATGGCGGTGGCTGCCTCTGGGGAAATTGGCGTTGTGTCAAGATGAGGGTCCCGGTTAGGCGGTCCTGCCTCAAGCCCATCTTGCGGAATGGCTTTTGGCGAAAGCGATTCCGCCAAGTAAAAGTCCGGAACAATCGAGCGGAACACTCGCAAGATTATGCTACAGCACCGAGTATCTCGCATGCGAATGGCGTGGGTGCAAAAGAGCAGCAGGGGCTCTACGATGGTTGACTGCATCAAGCAGAACTTCCTAAGCGATGGGTATTTCCGTGGCTGTCCGTGGCCATTCTGCGTTCTCAACAGCGAAGGATCTAGATCATGCATTAGCCCAAAGCTGCGGTTTACTATACCCCCGCCCGGTAACATGTGAACCATATGTACCATGCGCCCCCTTTGTTCCTTCTTGAGCCAAGATGCTTGAGAAAATGGCAAGAATGAGAAGCGGGAATACTAGACGCAGGGTAGATAGACAGGGTCGCTCGGGGGCTTCACACCAAGTAGAGGAAGAAACAGGATTTGGATGAGTTGGTGTGAAGAAACAAGAACAAGGCATAAAATCTAGGATAAATCCAGTGTGGAAGAGATAAGAC